AGGAACCAAAGTAAGCTGTTGTTCAGTTAACTGCATCAAAGGCATTGTCAGAGATCACCAGAGAGAGCAACCAGAGGCTGCTGCAGAGATGTGGGCTAAGAAGCAGTAGACTTGGTAGTGGCAGAATTAGAAACTAAAGTGCAGGTACATCAAGTGTGGGGACAACTAGAGCTCACTGCACTGAAAGCTTAGATTAAATCCTGTTTTGAGACAGGTTTCTGTTATTCTAGAGATCTTGATTGGGTTTGTCTTCTCTGCCAGGTAAAGATTAAAAGACAGGGAAAATCCTAAATGCAACAGGTAGTAGCAGGGATAGCAACAGATCGCAGACACAGCAGACAGCAGGAGCTGCTAAAGAAAGTAAGGAGCACAGAGGAAAGCAGAGGGGGACTTGGGAAGCTGAAGCCCAGTCTCTCCTTGAGGCCTGGGGATTTTCAGGGTCTCTGAGGGAAGCTGGTAGTTCCACAACTTTGTGGTAAAAACGTCCTGGTCTGGCCCCAAACTTGTAGGGCCAATCCATAGGCAGAGTCTACGGAAGTTCACTATCTCTATTATCTAGACTTGACCACTCTTCCTATCTGTCTGCCTGTCAGGGAATCTGTTTTAACTCCTAGTCCGTCAGTACAGTTTTCATACATATAAGATGCCATGGAAAACATGTTTCTGTAAGGAGCAGTGTATACATACAGTTGTCACACCGAATATCATGTAGTGCAAGCTGCTGTACTTGCCAGAGAGGAAGCAGCACCTCAGAGGGGGTGGCTGGTGGATGTAAGATGCAGGGGACTCATTCTTCAGAATAGCTTTGGAATGACATTCTACTCTACCCGGGCAATTTCATCTTGTGGGTAGATGTGTGGCTTAAAGGACAAGAAAGGATCTTTAGGATTGCAGATGCCAGTACTAGAGTAGTCTAACCAAGAGGTTAGAAGATGTGTGCAGTAAAGCAGAAGTTCTGAAGACCCACACTCTGCCAAAGGCCACTCTGAATTGTCCCAGGTTGAAGGAACGATTGAGTTGAGTAAACTGATGTGTTTTTCCTGCCTGAAGTTCTAATACCAGAATATCACCTTTCTTTTTAGTGGAACTTGTTAGTGTAATGAGGTGATGCTTTGGGGACCTGTATTAGTTACTTCTGTTGCTATGAAGAATGCCCTTGCAAAAGCAACTCAAGAGGAGAAAAGGTTTTCTTTTGGATAGAGTTTATCATTATGGGGGAGACATGACAACAGGCAGGGAAGTTATGGTGGCAGAAGCAGGAGGCCGGCTGATCGTATTTCATCACGCACAGGAAGTAGAGAGAAAAGCAGAAAGTGGGTACAAACTATAAAACCTTAAAGCTTGTATTGTACTTCTTCAAGTGATGTCCCATAACACTTCAAGCAGCACCACAGTCTGGAAACCAAGTTCAAACACAGGAACTTATGGGGACATGTCTCATTTGAGTCACTACAGGGGAGCTTGGGGATGTTTCACCTGACAGTGGGGGTGTGTGGAGACTGGAGAGGAGCTAAGGTCAGCAGAAGTGTGCTACTGGTCTACTTTTAGTACATTAATACCTACGGAGAACAGCTAAACACATGATAGACAATAAAGCCGGAATATTTTTAGACAAGGTGTTCTTCCCACACTTCCTCTCTCTGTGGTGCATTCATGACTTGGTGCATATAAAGCAAGCATTCTACCAATTGAACTATTCCTCAGCCCCAGAAACAGGATCTTCTTTAGGTTTGGTTTGTTTTTCAAGACAGGGTTTCTCTGTAGCTTTGGAGCCTGACTTGGAACTCCCTCTATAGACCAGGCTGACCTCAAATTCACAGAGATCCACCTGTCTCTGCCTCTGAAGTGCTAGAATTAAAGGCGTGTGTCACCACTGCCTGGCACAGGATCTTGTTCTAAAACTCTCCTCTCTCCTTCCTCTGTCTCTTGTCTTTTTTTGTTTGTTTGTTTTTCTTTTTCTTTGTAGTCCTGGCTGTCCTATAACTTGCTCTGGCACAACTCACAGAGATCTGCCTGCCTCTGGCTCCCAAGTGCTGGGATTCAAGTCATGCACCATCATCACCACTTGGCTAGAAACAGGATTTTAACAGCCCGAGGTAGGCCTGAACCTATCCTGATCTTGTCTTGGCTTCCCAAGCATATGCACCACCATGCTTGACAGAGCAACACGTTTTTTTCTTCCTTGTTTTGTTTGAGAAAAGATCACACAGTGTAGCCCTGACTAGCCTGAAAATCACTATGTAGACCCAGCTAGCCTCATAGTCACAGAGGTCCACCTGCATGTGGTGTATACACACACACACACACACACACACACACACACCCCTCCCAAGTGCTGAAGTTAAAGGTGTGATCCACCCTGTCTGACTTTGCTCATTCTTGTCATCCCCAGTCTTCCTTTTTCCAACCAGTCTCCCTTTTACTTTTGTGTTTGTTTTGATGACCTAGTGAATTTAATTAAGTTTGGTTATAAGAGCACTAATGAGTTATTTCAGGAGCATGGGCAATTTACCAGTGGCTGCTGCCTCGCCATTAACTGTCAGTAACTCTTCGGGAAGTCATGTAGTCTGGTGAACCCTTCCCATCCGTGACAGAATGCTGACAGGCCCAATTATATGCAGTATGTGTACAAGGAATCACAGCTGCTGTGAGGCCACCAGCACAGCAGCGTGTTATGTCCCAGGTCAGTGTTCCATACAGATCCTCCCTATCCTCCAGCCCTTACAGTCTTTATTCCTCATTCTTCTTCCAGGATGTTCCCTGAGCCTTGAAAGGGGTGAAACAGATATCCCACTTATAGCCAGGCATTCAACTGTCACTTATTCTCAGCATTGGGCCAGTCATAAGTCTCCACAATCACCATTTACCACTGCAAAACTAAGCTTCTGTAACTGATCTCTGGACAGTGTAATCGTCACAGCACGTCCAGTTAGCAAGACAACTGTATTAGCTTACCCCTTAGGGCCTATGACCAAGCTTAAAATACCATGCATGAACTCCCTCAACTTCTGTCAGAAAGCCATTGGTGACCCTGCTTATGTGGCTTAGAGGGCAAAGGTGCTTACTGCCAAACCTGAGGACCTGAAATCGATATGGTGGAAGGAGGGAGCTGCCTCTTTAAGTCACCCTCTGACTGCCACCATGGCATGTGTACTAATTAAATAATTAACTAATTATTGCAAAATATCTAACTTTAAAACGAGGCCCAGCTCTGCATTGCTCCTTCAGGATCTTTAGGTAAAAGAAAAAAATGTTGAGCTAAGACTATTGAACAAATCTTGGTTCATCTGTTTTGCTGTAATGTAGAGTGTGCTTAATAATCATAAGAGTTAAGGAAGAGGCAGGGCTGGTAGAGCATGGGCTGCAGCTAGAGAGATGGCATGGCAGTTAAGAGCTTGCTCTTCCAGAGGACCCAGATCCAATTCCAGCACCCATATGGTGGCTCATAACTGTCTGTAACTCTTCTTGCCTCAGTGGGCACCAGGTATGCCTGGGATGTAGACATGCATGCAGGCAAAACACCCATATACATAAAATTAAATTCAAAAGTTAGAAAAATAATTGTAAGAAGTTAAAGGGTGCCAGAACTTAAAGGGATCCTAAGTGTATATGTAAAAGTAGAAGTAGGAAGTAGGTAGTGGGGATCTGAGAGGGTGCCCAGTTACAACTGAAGGGATCAGAGGAAGACAAGTCCATTAGAATGGAGCTCTGAAACTGTTATGAGCTACCTCCTTCAGCTTGTTCCTTATCGTTCCTATGACTCTTCTCCCAGTGTCCTCACATACCCGCGTATAGACTTGAAGACTGCAGAGTGCATGGAGCACATCTGACAGAGTACAGCGTGCACATGGTGGGGCTTAGTGAGTCCTGTTCTGTGTTCATGGTGAAGAGCACAGGCTGTCTGCTTCTGCTCACTTTCTCATCTGCCAGTTGGAGTGCCCTGGCACCTGCCTGATTCTGAGACTTGTGTGGAAAGGGCACATGACCAGACATTATGCTCTAGTTCTTCCTTTTTATGTTCAAGTCATATGCACCATTCTCTGTTGGGTAATAGATGGGCCATGCAGAGGGTTTTTAATGAACATTTGCATTTTAGATTCTATTTATATTTCTCCTCTAGAGCAGATGACAGTGAAATGGTTTTTCTTGCTTCTACCTACTTATTTACTTTTCTTTTCTCCCTCCTCCTCCTCCTCCTCCTCCTCCTCCTCCTCTCTCCTTCTCCTCCTCCTCCTCCTTCTCCTCCTCTTCCTCTTCCTCCTTCCTTTTCCTCTTCCTCCTCCTCCTTTTTTTTTGGTTGTTTGTCCTTAAACATTTGGCAGCCCCATTTGGTCAAATACACCTGTTAAACCCCTATTGAAAACAGAAGAATTTAAGTTATGCACATCCACAAATGGTCACATATGTTCATTAAATATACTGTTTATGCATTAGAAAAATGGTATTTAGAGAAAATTAGACCTGTTGTTTACCTTTAATAAAAGTGGTCTGTTGTAAGGAGAGCCTCTTGTTCATCCTGGCCACCCAGAACCAAAATAACCACACAGAAACTGTATTACTTAAATCACTGTTTGACCCATTAGCTCTAGCTTCTTATTGGCTAACTCTTATATTAATTTAACCCATTTCTATTCATCTGTATATCACCATGTGGTAGTGGCTTACTGGCAAAGTTTCAGCATGTCTAACTCTGTTGACTCCATGGTGTCTCTGACTCTGCCTTCTTCCTCTCAGCAATCCATTTAGGTTTCCCTTTCTAGCTCTGTTCCTTACAGCTCTGCTATAGGCCCATAGCAGTTCCTTTCTTAACCAATGAAAGCAATACATAGACAGAAGGACCTCCTATGCCAGTGGTCACCAGATAGAAGTTCTTGTGAAGAAAAACTAAGTTTTATTCTCCTAGGGAACCCACCTAGAATCGAGCTTCCTGTGAATTCTGACACTAAGAAAGGTAATTGCAGAGGTGAGTACAGACTGATGATCACTTTTGTCCTCTATAGGCTGGGAATCCACGCGTTGAACTTACCCTCTCAGAACTTCAAGATATGGCAGCCAGGCAACAGCAGCAAATTGAAAATCAGCAGCAAATGTTGGTTGCCAAGGTACATTAAAAAAGAATCAGCATTCAGAATGTGTATTTTTCAACTGGCCTTTCAGATTGAGGTTGCCTTTGTGGGTGGTGACATGGGGCTGTGCCAGGAAAGTGCTGAGCAGTGTTTATGTGTTGCATGCTGTGTAGTGGCACAGGTGCCTGAATCTTTATAGTGTTGGAGTTGCATCAAAGCAAGAACCTTTGATTCACAGAGTAGGAAATGGTTGGTTCTAACCAAATGACAGACAGATGTGGAAAGAAAAGATACTTCCCATGGTTACTTCCAGGTTCCTAGGTGAGATCTCTGCCTAAAGTTGGTTTTTCTGTCCTAGAGAAGACTGGCAGTCTGATGAAGGCTCAGGCAGAGCCCTGGGAGTTAACAAACAGACTTCAAAAATGCTACTCCACGTTGAGTGTGTTAGGGTTATTATAGTTTGGGACATGGTTAGGACTCCTTATACATCCCAAGTCCTGCTTTTGTATGTAAAACCCCATAAAGTAGGCTAGGGAAGTTTTCTAAACCATGGTTTAGTTATACTTGATAATCAACTAGAAAAGATCAGAGCCACCACCCACCGCTTATGGGGGTTATTCATGATGTGAAATGTCTTAAAGTATTCTGAATCTACTTTAAAGAGAGCCTCTGAACATTCTAGCTTGGCTTATTCTCTTTTTGTGATTTTTCTTTTACTTGTGTGTGTTTGGGTGTATATGTGTGGGTGACATGTATGCCATGGCACAGGTGTGAAGAAGAGAACAAGTTCTTGGAGTTGGTTCTCTTGTTCCACCATGTGGGTCCCAGGAGATGAGCTCAGGTTCAGGCTTGGTGACAAATGCCTTTGTTGACCGAGGTTTCTGTCCTCCCCGGTTCCTGCAGTCATTAAGTCCCAAAGAAATACACAGAGATCTACATTAATTGTAAACTGATTGGCCTAATAGCTCAGGCTTCTTATTAACTCTTATAACTTATATTAGCCCATAATTCTTGTCTATGTTAGCCACGTGGCTTAGTACCTTTTTCGGCAAGGCAGTCACATCTTGCTTCCTCTGAGGCTGGGTCACAACTGCGGACTGAGCATTCTCATTGCCATGCCTCTACTTCCTGCCTGGTTGCCATCACCCCGCCTATTCTTCCTGCCTGGCTACTGGCCAATCAGCATTTTATTAAAAATAATACAAATGACTGGATAAATGACCATTGTTCGACAGCACTCCCCCCCCCCTTTTTTTTAAAACAAGAACTCTGAATCTAATATCCTTTGTTTAGCTTTTCTCCTGGCCATTATCCAACTTGTAACCAACATTCTAAACAAAGGAAAATATCTATAGTCTATATTTTGGGGAATGTGGGTGTAGTTTCCCATGCTACTTCCATCTGATTGGGTATGCTGATAATCTTATGGGTACCTAAAGAAAATTTAGAATTATGATCATGTCTTAACTGGCATCAATCTGTTCTGGATGTAGAACTCAGACATATGGGCCATCAGAAATTTCTCAGGGGGTCTTCCTTGATAAATAAAAATGTAATTGTTTTATCCTTAGCTAGCCTGGGTATTTCAACATGTCTTTACCCATCTGGCTGGCCTGATTGACCAATCTGTAGAGAGAGTTACTCAATCACCAGTCTTGTCCTTTAAAGTATGTTCTCACATGAGTAGGAGGAAAACTGTTGAGCGTTTTATTTTAGAATTGTCCTATTATGAAATGTTTCACCATTTAAAGACACTAATCATGAGGAAAGCAAAGAGTCCCTTGTTGACCTAGTATGAGTTACAGATTGGAGATTCGTCTAGTGATCCCCATGTAGAACACTGCTGTCCAGGAAGTGGAGTGAGGAGTGAGGAATCCTTGGAAGTACTGGGCAGCATCAGGAGCCCTGCACAGCCAGCAGGAAGCAAGGCTGGTGGGACTTGACAGATATGATGGCACACAGGAAAATATAGGACAGACACAGTCCTTACTGTGACCTCCTTCAGAAGCACTAGCATGAGCTGAATATACAGACCAGTGCGTGCAGTCTGGTCTGCCCTAAGAATCTACTGACTCATACTGTAATATATAAAGGTGGTCAAAAGTTTCTATTTGCAAAGTTTAAATTTTTTTTCATTCTTTGTTAGGAACAGCGTTTACATTTTCTAAAGCAACAGGAGCGCCGCCAGCAGCAGTCTATTTCTGAAAACGAAAAACTTCAGAAATTGAAAGAACGAGTTGAAGCCCAGGAAAACAAGTTGAAGAAGATTCGTGCCATGAGAGGACAAGTTGACTACAGCAAAATTATGAACGGCAATCTGTGTATGTGCCTGCAGCCCACGTGCCCACACACCCAGGCTAAGTCTAGTCAGACAGGCCAGTGCCTGGCAGTCCCAGTCACAAACCCATAGAGGTTTGCATGTTCTAACACTACTGTTCCCTGCAGTAAAGAGGATAGAGTTCATTGGGTTAATTGACTTTTTTCAAATTATGTAAATTCTCTGCAAAAAAAAACCTAATGAAATCTGAATAAGGTTGTGCTCTCATATGGTATTGTTTGAAATTAATTTTCTATTTTTTTAATATAAATTTAATTGTGTATTTTATAGGGTACAATATAATAATTTGAATAATGTATATAATATGTATTGGTTAATCGGGAGGTTAACATTTCTGTCTCCTTGAACTTAAAAAGTTTTTGATAAGTCTATGGTGATTTTTGCATATTTATGACATACAGTTTGTTTCGGAATAACTCTGGCCCCTTCTGTTATGGTAATGACATCAGCCCTTTGGATTGGTGTCAGGCAGCTCCAGGGGCTATAATGAGTTAGTCTGTTTTGTTGAATTACTCAAATTTTATTCATGCATTAAGATGGCCATATAGCCTGTAATCCCAGCCCTTGAGAGTCAGAGGCCGGAGGACAAGACTGGAGTAAGGCCTTGTGTCCACAAATGATCAGTTACATCATGCAGGTGTTTCTTTTAATTCTCTGTGAATTCTGGTTTTTTTTTGTTTTGTTTTGTTTGGTTTGGTTTGGTTTGGTTTGTTGTTTGTCAGTTTTGTGTTTTGGGGTTTTTGTTTTGTTTTGTTTTTTGTTTTCAAGACAGGGTTTCCTCTGTGTAACAGTCGTAATTGTCCTAGAACTTACTTTGTAGACCAGGCTGGCCTCGAACTCACAGAGATCCGCCTGCCTCTGCCTCCTGAGTGCTGGGATTAAAGTGTGCACTGCCACCGCCCACTGTTGTTTGTCAGTTTAACGAATGCCTGTTTAATGTTACAAGGATGGATAAGGCCTTAATAACAAAGCTTTTTATCTTGCTCTCTGAGATTATTAAGTACCTTGACCAAACTAGCTTTTGTATTATGCCCCTAAAGAATATTTATTAACTAATGCAAGCATAATTATTTGTGAATAGTCACATCATGGATTTCAAAATCTGTTGGTGTGTTCTGGAGCTGGACACTCACCTGGCAAATGTGAGATGCAGGGTTTCTCCAGCCATAGCTCTTGGGAGAAAAAAAAACATATTTTGGGTTATGCATAAACTATCTTTTATTTTTACGCATACACTTCAATCCAAATCTAGCACTAAATAAAACCAGAATTGAGTGTACTGTATAGAAATGAAATGACCATTTTCCTTTTTTGGTGATTACAGCTGCTGAGATAGAAAGGTTCAGTGCCATGTTTCAGGAAAAGAAGCAGGAAGTTCAGACTGCAATCTTACGGGTTGATCAGCTAAGTCAGCAACTAGAAGATTTAAAGAAAGGAAAACTAAATGGGTTCCAGTCATACAATGGCAAGTTAACAGGACCAGCAGCGGTGGAGTTAAAACGACTATACCAAGAACTACAGGTAATTGCCTGGGTCTGGGGCTTTGGCCTTACTCAGTGGGTCCGTTTCTCTGGCTTAGAGAGATGGCTCGGAGCTCTTAAACGCTTAGTTTTTGCAGAAGACCCAAGTTCAGACCACATGGTGGCTCACAAACTTCTGTAACTCCACTTCCAGGGAATCTGATGGCCTCTTCTGTTTCACAGGCATTGCAAACACATGATTCACATACATACATGAAAGCAAAAACACTCATACATAAAATACATAAACCTAAAAAAAAGATTCCCACTCTCAAAATCTGCCTGCCATTCAACAGGTTTTGTGATTTTCTTATTTTAAATTAGCTCTTGCTAAAACAGGTGCTGGATCATTTTATGAGTACATTCCACTACAGACAGGATCACTGAGCCACTGTTGATATTACCCTCTTTACCTTATCATTCTTTTTTTTTTAAGATTTTATTATGTATACAGTGTTCTGCCTGCATGTGCACCTGCGGGCCAGAAGAGGGCACCAGATCTCATAGATGGTTGTGAGCCACCATGTGGTTGCTGGGACTTGAACTCAGGACCTCTGGAAGAGCAGTCAGTGCTCTTAACCTCTGCACCATGTCTCCAGCCCACCTTACCATTCTTTTACATTTTTAAGCAACCACTAAGTGTGTCGGTTTTGAAAGGATGTTTTTGGAAAGATATGTTGTAAAACTATTTTGGTGAGGTAGCTTTTTGGTCTGCAGTTAGTTTTTTAGTATGTTTTCTCCTGTCTTGTTTACATACACAAGTAGGAATGTGTGAGTGTGCAGATATGTGTGCTAGTGTTACAGCCTCATGAAGAGTGTATTACCAAGATAACTGCCTAGTCTTCTACAAGGGATACATCCTAATGGTGTCTAGTCTTACCTATTTAGTTTTTTAAAAAATATTAGTTATAGAGGATGGTGAAATGGCTCAGTAGTTAAGAGCACTTGCTGCTCTTCCAGAAGAGCAGAGTTTGATTCCCAGTACCCAGGTCAGGTGACTCACAACAGCCTATACTTCCAGGTCCAGGGATCCAACACTCCCTCTTTTGGCTTCAGCAAGAACCCATACAAACATGGCATAAACTTGCACGGACACACATATAAATAAACAAATAATAATAAAATATATATCAGTTATAGCACAGTGAAGTGAGTGCTGTACTTTGAATTTAGGGCTATCTTTGTAACCTTGCTTTCACTTCCATAGTTAAAGTTCCTCATTCAGTGATCTGGGGTTTGCCTCCTGGATTCTGAGAGCTGCTGCAAGGACTGCCTCCCTAGGACTCCAGGCTTGGCCTCATAGCGTGCTGTTGGCCCTGGTCCTGCATGTGCTGTGAAGAGATGAACAGTTGAAGATGTATATCCTGTCTTTGTTCCATAAGCACTCAGGACCAACCTGTGTCCATAGCAAGATCCTATCTCAAAAAAAGAAAAAAAAAGAACTGGAGCTGATGGTCAGTGGTAGAGTTCTTGCCTGAAATTATTTAAAGGCCCTGGGTTTAGTCTCCTGCACTAAAACTCACAAGCTACTTGTGTACTGGTTTCCCTGTTCTATTCCTGTCCGCAGGTGGCGGGCCATCTATGCAAACATATCCAGACTCAGAGCAGCATTTTCTTTTCTCCCTTCCATTCCCTTTTCTTTCTTTCGTCTCTCTGGAAATGAGAGTTTGATTTTTTTTTTCTTTATTTGTTTTGTTTTGAGGGTTTTTGTTTTTTGAGATGGGTTTTTCTGTGTAGCCCTGGCTGTCCTGAAACTCCCTCTATAGACAGGCTGGCCTCGAACTCACAGATCCTCTTGCTTCTTCCTCTAGTGCTAGAACTAAAGGCCTGCACCACCACAACTGGCTAAAAATTTACCTTTTAACATAAATATATTTTTTACTTTAGAAATAGTTCCACTTTATTAAAATAAAGGACAAACATCCTGCCCATAAATTCTGTTTTCCAAAACACCTTGTAGGAAAACAAGTAGGGTGGGGTCTTGTTATTGAGAAAACACACTAATATTAAAAGGCATAGAGTCTTCTGCTTCTAGATCACTGCTAGGTTGTGAGCTTGCTCTGCCAGAAATCAGAACTTAGAATTGAGTATTCTCTAAAGCAGAAATAACAAATTGTCGTTTCAAGCAACTCTCTTCTATAACATCCACAACTTGTGATCAGAACAACTAAACTAAGTCAGAACAGACCAACAAGAAACAGAAAATACAAGTCAAGAGGTCTGAGGTTGTCATATAAACTGTTAGTTCCTTGCTGCTCTTCTTATTCTAATGTAGTTGGTTTTTTTACTCTTTGCGGGGCCCACCACCCAGCTTCTACACTGAGACTTATTCTTACTTTTTCATGACTGGTCTTAGCTTGGCTTGTTTGTAGCCAGCCTTGCTAACTTAAATTATCTCATCTATCATTTTCCTCTTTATTCTATATCTCTCTTTCCTTCTTTCTCTGTGGCTGGCTGCATTGCTGGGTGGCTTGCCCCTGGTGTCCTCCTCTCCTTCTCCTTTTCTCGCTCCTCCTCTTCTATTTATTCTCTCTGCCTGCCAGCCCCATCTATCCTTTCTCCTTCCTTGCTGTTGGCCATTCAGCTCTTTATTAGACCAATCAAGTGTTTTAGGAAGGCAAAGTAACACAGCTTAATAGAGTTAAACAAATGCAATAGAAAAGAATGCAACACATCTTTGCATCATTAAACATATATTCCATGGCATAAACAAATGGAACACATCTTAAAATAACATTTCATAACATTCTATGACCCTATTAAAGAGTCTACTTTACTGAAATATAGATATGTGTGGTGTGTATCTCTCTCTCTCTCTCTCAAAATATATATATATATATATATATATCCATCAAAGACTCCAAAAGGATATAATATTACCTAAATAAATAGGAAGTGCATTTATAAACAACTTCCAAAACTCTAGAATTGACAGAGACTTTTTTTTTTTTTTTTTTTTTTTTGTAATTTGGAGACTATCTCACTGTGTAGCTCTTACTCACCTGGAACTCAGAGATGTGCCTGCCTTTGCCTCCTGAGTGCTGGGGTTAAAGATGTGTGCCACCACACACAGCTACTGTGAGCTCTTAACTAACTGCTTTTTAGAATGCTTTAGTCCACTTTGTGGAGATTACTCTTTACGTGTTTGTCATTTGGATTTATGGAGTCTAAACTAAATAGATAATCATCATGCTGTGGCCAGAGCAGACTGGCCCTGAAAAGATATGCTTCTCAATTCATGTGTGGAACCGATGTGGGACCCTGCCTACTAGAAACATGATAAGATGTAATTCATGCAACTGGTAAGTTGTATTCTCTACTTGGCAGATTCGTAACCAACTTAACCAGGAACAGAATTCCAAGCTCCAGCAGCAGAAGGAGCTCTTGAACAAGCGCAACATGGAAGTGGCCATGATGGATAAGCGGATCAGCGAGCTGCGTGAGCGCCTTTATGGCAAGAAAATCCAGGCATGTGAAAGAGTGGATGGCTGTGAACCAAACTACTAGTAGCATTTCATCTAAAGCTGCCAGTTGTTGTGGGTCTGCTAGTATATACTGAATCCCAATACTTAGGAGGTGGAGGCAGGAGATTTGTAAATCAGGGGCTAGCCCGGCCTGCATAGGGAGCATGTGTGTCAACAACTAAAATCGTGAACAAAATGCTACAAACTTATAGTTTCAAAAGTATTTGCTATTCTAAATTTCACAGATAGAAAATACTCTGAACAAAAACTGCAATAGTATAGGAGTATTCACCAGAGCCTATGATTGCTAATGGCTCTAGATATAGAAAAGTGTAGGATTTCCAATGGAAATGGGATTGTGGCGATTTTGTTCATCGGTCTGTACCTTGCCTGAGATCACTGTCATTCCTTTAACATCTAATGCTGTACCGTGGTCCAGAGTCTGCCTGCCCTTCACCACTCTGCTGCCTCTCAGTACGGGAGTGGGATCAGCACTACACCCTGTGTCTGACTGGACACCACATCCAACCCTTACACCATCAGCACCTTAGGCTGATGTCCTCTCTGCCCTGGGTTTCCAGCACATGCTTAGACGGTTTGGTGACAGAGGTGTCCTCTTGTCAACCTCAGTCACTCTGAATGATGCTCTGAGGAGGCAGGGATGCGTGTCATAGGCTTTGCCCAGCTGAGGTGGATCTGAAGGATGATAGAGGATGGCAACTGGACTTCAGCAATCTGTTTCTCAGAGAGCTACCCTGTTTCTTAAACCTGAGTTTAAAGGTCAGTAATTTGAGTAGTTTCAGATGTTTTTCTCATCAAGATTAACAACACAGAGGCCATGAGAGACAAGATTATGTGGGCTTATTTATATAGAGTAGTGAAGAAAGTTCTGCAGAGAGGAGGAAGAGGGAGGGAGAGAGGAAAAGAAAGATCTTCAGGAATTGGTCTATATGGTTTTCTCTATTTTAGATTTTAGTGTGCACCCCTGCATGTGTGTCTGTGCACCACATGCACACAGTGCCCACAAAGGCTAGAGGAGAGTGTTGGAGCCTCTGGAACTGGAGCTAGAGTTATTAGCTGCCACGAGGGTCCACTAGAAGAGCAGCCAGTGTTCTTAGCTGCTAAAGCAGCTCTCCAGTATGGCTTATGTGTTAATAAAGGCAAGCAAGTCTGAAAGCTGCAGCACGGAGACCCAGGAGCTTAAGTAAAGGCCGGCTGCTCTAGTCCCCTCTTTCTGGGTGACCTAGTTTTTATCAAGGCCATGCACTGGTTACGTGAGACCTACCCATCTGTTTTACTTAGAGTCCACTAAATTTTAATCTCATCTTTTAAAAAAAAAGGTCTTCTTGGCAACACCTAGACTACTGGTTGAGCACCTATCTGGGTGCCATGGCTTAGCCAAGAGCCACCCATTACAGGCCTGATGAGGTGGTTAGACAACAAACACACTTGTTACCCACATGGTACAGTAGAATGGAAGAACCAACTCCTATAACGAGTTGTCCCTGATCTCTGCACATGTGCACACACAAATAGCTAGATGTGTTTTGCTGTTTCAGGGATCTTAAAGAACTTATGCTTTTGCAGAGTTGTGGTTCTCCTGAAGATCTAGGTACTTCCGAGCATTTGGGAAGGTCTTGAGCCTTTCCCAGCATGCAGAATCCTTGGTTTCCCCATTTAAAACTTTCTTAGCAAGGAGCCATAAGGAGCCCATGATTCTCTAGTTAGAATCCTGTTGTACACCCTTTTGATATTGGCCAGTGTCTTCTACCTGGTTGTTCTTTCTTATAAAAGCAGAGCTGCTCTCAGAAATGCAGGGTCCCTGTCAGGACTGGAGGTCAATGGAGCACCTCGCCTTGCATTCTTATGATAACTCTCATCCCAACTACACATACAGACACAGACCCTCAACGAAACCCAAGCTACTGGCTTGAGAGTATAGTGAGTAAGTAACAGAGAAGGTCTGAAGCTATACTCAGAGAGCAAGCAGGCTTTGACCAGTACCTCTCCACACAACAGGGTGTAGCCCTCCCTATTGGAGCTTGCGCTGTCACCATGCCAACTCTTTGTTTTTGTAGCTCACCAGTAGGTAGGTGTTTAGTATGAATCAGGTTCTCCCCTTCTACATGCTTGTCTTTCAGTGCAAGGGACTCCCAGGTTATAAGCTGAGTGACTTTTCCCTTTCCCAGCCTGACAGTCTCACTGAACTTGGTATTTAAGAGAATCTTGACTCTGACTTCATCCTCATTGCAGCTGAGCCGTGTGAATGGCACATCATCACCACAGTCACCCCTGAGTACATCTGGCCGGGTCGCTGCTGTGGGTCCTTACATCCAGGTTCCCAGTGTTGGGGGATTTCCTCTCCCAGGGGACCCCGTAAAGCCCCAGTCTCTCACCATTGCCTCAAGTGCCGCCCATGGAAGATCCAAATCTGGTAGGTCGCCCCAGTCCTCTCCTCTGGGGAGTACACGGAGAGAGTGGTGTGGAAGTGGTACCAGCCCCTACCTCTGTATTTAACACAGACTCTGCCCCATCTCAAGTTCCTGGTCTCTACAGTAACAGTGTAACCCTAAAACCAGAACTAATTGTCTTTACTGATCTGAAGGTCTTGACTGTGCTTTTCAAACCACAAATGAAAATTTACAAGATGCATATAGCACAGGCTTCTTTATCCCTAAAAGCTTTGACGCAGGAGTCTGCGGCTAGGTAGGAGCTGCCTTCCTTCAGACAGTGCTATAGCTGTTCTATCTTCATCAGTCAGAAAACCCACAAACTTGGGTTGGGTTATGGGTGTGGCTGCAAAGCCATGGGTTGGATATCCAGCACCAGAGGTCAGGTCCAGGAGAGGAAAAGAAAAAAAACCATAACCCTTTCTTTGGTCTCTGCAGTTATACAGTGTGATGATTCAGGCATCCAGCACTATGCTCTGAGTACTCATTGCATGGTGTTCCAGCCAGGCATAGGACTTTTATGCAGAGAGTGTGATTGTTTTTAAACCTACTGGTTTAAAAACATGTATGGTGACATGTACCTGTGATCCCAGTACTTAGGAGGCAGAGGTAAGAAGACGGCTGCAAGTTCAAGGCCAGCCTCGGCTACACAAGGAGACCCTGTCTTAAAAAAAAAAAAATCAGTTTCCATACAGTAAGACTTTATGACTAGGGTTGGCCTGTATACACAGACTCGAGAACTTGTGTTGTGGCATATTAAATTTGTGAAAATATTGTTCTCCTGGTATAAAGCCCATATTTTGAGTCTTCCCCCACCTCCGGTATTAGTAACCAGTTTGTGGTAGTCTTTTGTGCTGTTTGCTTGCCTTTGGTGGGGAGGGGTGATTATGTTTGAGACCGGGTCTGTGTGGCCTTGACTGGCCTGGAACTCACAGAGGTCCTCCTGCCTCTCCTTTGCTGGGATAAAGTCATGTACCACCACACCAGGTATTTTTGCTCTCTATTGCTTGGCTACATCTGCCATTCTGGCTCCTTCTGACTATAGCCAGTGGAGCTTCCCTGACCCTCATGGGCCAGAACCCCACTCAGAGCTTTTTATGACCAGGTCTTAGCAGTCCTCACTGGTATTCATTGGTAGGCAGTTGTGTGAGTCCCCTATCCATGGTGTGTGTGAAATGTTTCACTGACAGATGAGCTGTGTCCTCCTTCGCTGACTTGGTAGTTAAAAGTTCCAAGCTGAGAATGTCACCTGTTTCCCACTCCCTACTTAAATGCTGTGTAGCCTCATACGGTTGCCAGAAGATGCCTTTAACCTCATTCCTCCCACTGTAGCTGAAAACAGCTTTTCAGGTTTCCAGTGTGAACCCAAGCTGGAGCTAGGATGAGGAATTCTCCCTAGGGGGCTCTGACCCCTGGTTGGCTATCCTGGTTCTATTACACAGATGGCCACAGTAGAGGCAGAGTAATCAGCACGTGGACAGTGTCAGACCTGGACGTCGGGCCTGATGGCAGCTCGTCGCAGCACTCAGCAAGCCTACTTGTAAACTGTATGTCATCTGATAGCCTTATTGGGGCACGTTTGATCTACAACACAGATTGAATCAACCATAATTTGTTTTTCCAAACTGACAAAGGACTGCTAATCACCCTTGCTCTTGAAAGCAATACTGTGCTAACACCTGCCCCTTCTAATCCAGTTGTGGATTTGGGGGAAGGGCCCACACAGAGTCATCTGCAGACAGGGTTAGACACCAAGTAACGGATGCTCGCACAGGAAGGGTTATGTTTTGGATGTGTGTGGACTGCTGGGCATAGTGGCACACACTAGGAGGCGGAAGCAGAAGGACTGAAAGTTCTAGGCTGTCTCAGAGAAAGAAAGAGTGAAGGGGATTTTCTGAGTTACTTCTGAGACTTGTTTCTCTTTTTTTTTTTTTTTCAATATAAAATGTTAAGTGGCTACCTGTGATACCTGAAGAAAAATTGTTTCTCGGTCCTCTCTCATGACTGCTTCCAATAAAACTCCCCATTGCTGTGGGATTTCTGAGGCTACTGGGCAGCCATGTATATTCCCATGACCCCGAGAACAGAAAATCCCATCTCAGCCCACCTACTCACACCATGGGCCTCCAGTTGGCCTTGCTTTTCCAGTAAGCTGAGTTTTCACCCAGGTGCTTCTAGTGAGTTTTGTACAGCCCTACTCCCAGTCATCCAACCAAAAGGGAGTGAAAGCTCACACACTTGTCAGGAAGAGGCCGACAGACTTAAGCAAAGGCTCTGAAATGTCTCACCCTCTCCCGTGCTGGGCAACACTGTCTTGGAGCCCTGCGACTTAGCACTGTAGTCACCGAAGGGCGCGAACCAGCCAGAGCATGCAGGTCCTGCAGAACATTCTGGAGCCACTCACACTTAGGACTTGAAGCAGTTGTGACAGATGCCTTCTTGCTGCTCTGTTATCCCTCATCCCTGGCTAATTCCTACGCATGCCTAGCTGCTATGGGATTGGAAGCAGGCAGCCAAGGCGGCCCACACCTGTGCCTGTCAAAGAGCAGCAGAGGCCTAAGTAAAGGTACACGGTTGACCCGCAGTTTCAGTCCCCTTATGTGCACCTCTTTTCGGTTTGGAAAAATGTTGTAATAAACATCTTTTCTGAATTTCCTGGAAACTTGGGGTTGATGACTGGCTTCCTAATCATTACAACAAATGTTAGCTGCTGCTCCTGCTGCTACTCAATCAGAAAGAACTTGGACTGGCCTCTTGTGGCCACAGATTGTTTTAGAAGGAAAGAATTGCTCACATAAAAGGAGAAATTTTATTCTAATAATGGAAATCATACAAATCAAATCTATTATGAAGTTAAATGATAAATCTTTTCCTACCGCTGTATGTGATTGTGTGTATAAGTAATGCCTGATGGCTAAGTGCTGCTGTGTTCTGTGCTGGGATGTGGGACTTAACCTGTTCCAGTGTGATGCAGCCCTTGCTGCAGTGTTGGTGAGTCCTGGTCACAGTGGCCAGATGATAGCCCAGGTCCCTCCTTGGGCTTATGCAGAGGTCTGTGATGTTGGTTGACGATGTAGGTAATGGAGTCCCGGTGGTGTATTTGTTTCTGGCTCAACTAATTCCAGCACTGTCTTTTTCCTTATCCTATGCTCTTCTCAGCTAATGATGGAAACTGGCCGACATTAAAGCAGAATTCTGCTTCCGTGAAGCCAACTCAGATGGCTGGTGGAGACTGGAAGGACTCAGGCATGGAGGGGGCCCTAAAGCAAGGCGCCATCTCCAGCCAGCCTTTGCCTTTGTCAGCACTGGGAGCTACAGAAAAGCTGGTAGGTCTCAGCAAGTTTCCCTGCTGTGCTGATTTTCACCTCAAGGGTGTGAGGTAGCATGAAGACAAGGCAGCTCTGTTACTGTCCACCTTACACAAACAGCTCCTGGCCCTCAGGGGCCTGAGCATACTCAAGTGCAGAGTAGCGAGCCTAGTGGTGTGTCTTACGTCCTGAAGGCTTATAAACCCTACTCTGTGCTGTTGTAAATGGATAGAAATACGTTTAACCTTCCAAAGAGTAACTTGGTGTTTTCTTCTTATAAATTTAGGGCATCGAGATTGGCAAAGGGCCACCTCCCATCCCTGGTGTAGGCAAGCCACTGCCCCCAAGTTATGGGACATATCCAAGTCCTGCGCCCTTGGGCCCAGGATCAACAAGCTCCCTGGAGAGGAGGAAAGAAGGCAGCTTGCCCAGACCTGGTGCAGGTCCACCAAGTCGACAGAAACCTGCCCCACTGCCCCCTGCAGGCAACGCTCCCCAGCCTGGCTCCTCGCAGCAGATTCAGCAGAGGATCTCAGTGCCACCAAGTCCCACATACCCTCCAGCAGGGCCACCTGCCTTTCCAACTGGAGACGGAAAACCTGAGCTTCCACTGACAGTGGCCATTAGGCCTTTTCTGGCTGATAAAGGGTCAAGGCCACAGTCTCCCAGGAAGGGACCTCAGACAGTAAATTCAAGTTCCATATACTCCATGTACCTCCAGCAAGCCACACCACCTAAGAATTACCAGCCACCAGTGCATGGCACCTTAAATAAGTCAGTTAAAGCAGGTATGCTGGCTGTATACTTTCTCTGAAATGGTAGTTATCCCTTAATTAAGATCTGTGTTCTTGCATGCTACTTGCGATAAAACAATTCTTACATAAAGTATAGGTGTCAGTTTGGGATGAAAATAAGAGACAAAATGCAGAGTAATTTTGCAGACAATCACACTCTGACTTCCTGCCTGGGTATCCGCATATCACTCAGTAGTAAATCCAGAAGGTAAGACTTGCGGAATTTCATTTTTCTCCTGCTTCAGGATAACTTATGCCATTAGTTATCCAGTGGTTACGGGGTGAACCTGCTGGCCATTGCTAAGTCAGCATCCTGGGTATGGGCAGTGTGAGGAGCTTCCATGAGGGACAGTCTGGAGTGGTGATTGAACAGGGACCAATCACCTAGAAAGGCAGATGAGAAGAGACAGCACAGCTCTACATACCTCATGGAGGTCGAAGAGTTTCCCATCCTAGCTGGAAGGTTCTATTGGCCAGGCCAGTGCTGCAGCATCCAAACTTGTAGTTCGATCCCTGGGTGTCTTTAGCCATCACCTGCTAAGGACCTCCCAAGTAGTGTGATCTATGGACACAGTTCTGGTCATGGGAGAAGTATTTGAACCACAGGTCAGATGCGTCCTGCTACAAAGAGGTAAGTATCTTCATGTTGCCTGAGTCAGCCCCAGGCTCAGATGCAGATTTAGTGGATTTGGCATTTTTCCTTGGTCAGAAAATTAAGCAGACTTTTGTTGGAGTGTGGAAACTCAGGTCAACAATTTTTTGTTTGGAAAAAGCCCAGTCTTGGAACCATATATAAAACTCAGTTTAAAGGGAGTGACTGGATGGTCTTGGAAAATGTTTGCTGAGGATTCAAAAATCAGAACCCACCAGCAATAGCAGCTTATGTCATCATGGGAGGGCCAGGGAAAAGATGCTGCCATAGTAGCCAGCATGAAATTGTTCTGTCCTTTGTTTCTCCTCCAGTATATGGTAAGCCTGTCCTATCGTCAGGGTCAGCATCTCCATCACCCTTGCCGTTTCTTCATGGGTCACTGGGCCCAGGCACAACACAGCCTCAACCTCCTTCAGAATGTGCTGAGAAAGAGCCAGAACAGGAGGGGCCCCCTGTACCTGGAGAAGGCAGCACGGTGGAAAGCCTGCCACGGCCACTCAGTCCCACCAAACTGACACCCATTGTGCACTCACCACTTCGTTATCAGAGTGATGCGGACTTGGAGGCTCTCCGCAGGAAGCTGGCCAATGCACCCCGACCCCTGAAGAAGCGTAGCTCTATCACAGAGCCGGAGGGCCCTGGAGGGCCCAACATCCAGAAATTGCTGTATCAACGTTTCAATACCCTGGCTGGTGGCATGGAGGGTACCCCTTTCTACCAGCCCAGCCCTTCACAGGACTTTGTGGGCACCTTAGCTGATGTGGACAATGGAAATACTAATGCCAATGGCAACCTGGATGAGTCTCTCCCTCCCCGGCCCACAGCCCCACTTCCCGAAGAGCTTGCCCCATCCTCAGATGCCAACGATAATGAGTTACCTTCCCCTGAGCCAGAGGAGCTCATTAGCCCCCAAACAACTCATCAAACTGCTGAGCCTGCTGAAGACAATAACAACAACGTGGCTACAGTGCCCTCCACAGAACAGATCCCAAGTCCTGTGCCTGAGGCTCCTTTGGAGGAGGAACAAGTCCCTCCAGCACCTCTTTCCCCTGTCATCCATCCCTCAGCAACACCTGCGGTGGGTATCCCTGCTAAACCAAAGCCATGCATGCCCTTGCATGCATAATTAGATGTGGGGACGGGATAGTCAGATGATCACAGACCAGACAGTTCAAAGCACAGCACATGGTGCCCTGGTAAGCTTGTTGGCACTGACATCTGAATGACAGACAGGGAGAGAAGCAATGAGCCTCCCTGTGGAGGTCAGTATTGACATAGCAGAAAGGGTTTGGGATCATGTCAAGGAATCCACACAAGGTTTGCGTTTTTGGTTTTTCAAGACAGGGTTTCTCTGTGTAACAGCCCTGACTGTCCTGGAACTCCCTCTGTAGACCAGACTGGCCATGAACTCGGAGATCCACCTGCCTCTAACTCCTGAGTGCTAGGATTAAAGGCATGCACCACCACTGCCCAGCCCACAAAAGGCTTTCTTAATGGAATCTCTGATATGGGGTCAGTGGGATGAGCTGACTCCCTAGGGGCAGACTTGTGGCTCAGCAGTATAGCTCTCGCTCCTTCCCTCTAACCTTCCTAGGAGTAGCTGGCAGCCTCCCTGGCCATCTATTCTACAGATGGCTAGGCCCTTGTAGGGCAGGCGCCAGGGTTGCTCCTGGAGAGCTGCTGCCTTAGTTCCTGGCACCTCTTCCCACAGCAAAGTCTTGGATTGGTCCTTACCTTAGGTAGGTCACCTGACACTGAAACACTTGTTTGCCTACACAGAGCAAACGGACCAACCTGAAGAAGCCTAACTCTGAACGAACTGGGCATGGGCTGAGAGTGCGCTTCAACCCCCTAGCGCTGCTTCTAGATGCTTCCCTGGAAGGAGAGTTTGATCTAGTGCAGAGGATCATCTACGAGGTGAGCCATACTCCCATATATGCTGCTGGAAGTTTGAAGGACTGGCTTTCACTTGCTCTGTGTCCTAGGTGGAAGACCCTAGCAAACCCAATGACGAAGGGATCACGCCCCTGCACAATGCTGTCTGTGCCGGCCACCATCACATTGTGAAGTTTCTGCTGGACTTTGGTGTCAACGTGAATGCTGCTGACAGTGATGGATGGTGAGAACCCTGGGAGGTGGGGAGTGGAAGGGCTCAGAGACTCATTTCCCCTAGCTTACAAAAAGAAATGATACACGTTTTTAAAACGTGAGTCAGGAGGTGGTGGCGCAGTTTAATCCCAGCACTTGGGAGGCGGAGGCAGGTAGATCTGAGTTGAAGGCCAACCTGGTCTACAAAGCAAGTTTCAAGAGGTTCTACATAGAGAAACCCTGTCTCAAGAAGCAAACAAAAAAAAAAAAAAAAAGTAGAAACTTGGGACTCCAGAGATGCTTCAGTGGTTAAAGAGCTTTGGATCCTCTTCCAAAAGACCCAGGTTTGCTTCTCAGCACCTACAGGACAATAGTAGCTCCAGTCCCAGATCAGCTGACAACCTCATCTGGCCTCTGCATGCACATGATGCACACACATCCATGCAGGCAGAACACCCATACACATAAAATTAACAAAACACCTATAAACCTGCTTCACACAAAGGTGTGGTACTTTCATCAAAATTCTTGGAGGTTTGTGTCACACAGGGGCCAAATAGCCCTGGGTGGTGCAGACTCTACATGTCCCACTCTGGTTCTAGGACACCGCTGCATTGTGCTGCCTCTTGCAACAGTGTCCACCTCTGCAAGCAACTGGTGGAAAGTGGAGCCGCTATCTTTGCTTCCACCATCAGTGACATTGAGACTGCTGCAGATAAGTGTGAAGAGATGGAAGAGGGATACATCCAGTGTTCTCAGTTTCTGTACGGTACGTAGGGAAGCTCGTGTGCCTCAGCTGCTTCCCCTGCTAATCGGCACTGCATCCCATATCTGGCCTAAAATCTGGCTCAGGGAGCAGATCATGCTTAAGTGGTCACCTTTACACTCGCCCTAAACATCTGAAAATCCCATTTGTATCTGGGTGGTACAAACCTAAATCTTCCACTTGAAAGCTTTAGGAAGACCACAAGTTGCAGGACAGCCTGGCCTACATAGTGAGACTCTGCCTTAAACAAAAATCATATTAGAAGGATTTGAGTAAGCATGCCCTGGATTCAGAGGGAGTGGGTATGGTGGTAGTGCACGCCTTTAATTCCAGCACTCAGGAGGCAGAGGCAGGATGATCTCTGAGTTCGAGGCCAGCCTGGACTACAGAGTGAGTTCCAGGACAACCAGGGCTACGCAGAGAAATTCTTTTTTTGGGGTGGGGGGGCATCTACACACCTCAAGTGTCTGGCAAGTGAAGGGCATGTCCCAACTAAGTTGCTGTACCCAGTGTCAGGAATCTAGGAGCTCAACCATGTCCTCTGCTAAGCAGTTACAAGTCACTGGTTCCATATAGCCCTGGGAAGTTACTGTGTTTGACTTGGTGATACAAGCAATAACAGCCAAACTACGGTGGGTACTGAACTCCCACAACAAAGGCAGGCAACAAAGTGCTGGGCATTAATGAAGCTGGGCAGGAACAAGGGCCCTGGGAAACCCAGCCCATGTGAGGAAGAGGCTGCTGTCACACAGGCTCCTGCTAAGAGAAGGTTTCTCAGCAATGATGGCATAGGCCTGAAGTAGACCCTGGGTGATGTTATGCTTACAACAACCAAGGTGCAAACCACCATGTGCAGCTGGTTTGTTGGTACTCAATGCAGTCACAGCTCCCTACCTGATGACTTGACATAAGTTTTGTTTCACCTTTACCTACTTCTGCTGGCCTCTCTGCTAAAATCTATCTCTTTTTGGCTCAGGGGTACAGGAGAAGCTGGGAGTGATGAACAAAGGCACTGTGTATGCTCTGTGGGACTACGAGGCCCAGAACAGCGATGAGCTGTCCTTCCATGAAGGGGATGCCATCACCATCCTGAGGCGCAAAGATGAAAATGAGACTGAATGGTGGTGGGCTCGTCTCGGGGACCGGGAAGGCTACGTGCCCAAAAACTTGCTGGGGGTAAGCACTCGGCACTCACAGCTTAGACACTGGAAGTCAGCTGGCCTCGTACCTGTACAAGTCACAGAGACATTCAGATGGCTTCAGTTGTGCTGACATCAGGATAGAACAAAACACTATTCAGTAAGCCCTAGCAGCCTGCTCTCTATACGGGCAAGCCCCTTAGTCCCTAGAGTCTGGCTTTCCCCGTGGGAGAGCATGTGGATGTTAGAGACCATCAAGGTCACCTCACTCTGCTTTGCTCATGGTAAACTTTTGCAAGTACTAAGTCACCCCACCCCACATCGTCCTCCATGATCTGGAGTATCAGAGCTGGGTATAGTGTCACACTATAATGTAATCCTAGCGTTTGGTGTTTTTGAAATTTTTGTTGTTTTGGTTTTGTAACTCCTTCTCTCTCCTGACAACTGAACCCAGGGCCTGAGCAAGCACTGAGCTAAATCCACAATGTCTGTAATCCTAGCACTTGGAAGGCTGAGTTAGGTGCCAGCCTGGGATAGAGACCTGATTGCTCAAAAGCCTGTAAAGTGGAGCAGTGTGGGTTGTCAGCTAGACTGCACTCCTAACAGTGTCAGTCTGTTCTTTAACAGAAAGGTTGCCTGTGCTCTCTCAAGTGCTGTGGTAAGCCTGGCAGATGCTTCTTGTTCACTTGGCAAACCTTCCGAGATGCCAAGGCATGAACCAAGTACAGGTGCTTGTACCCGAGGAGCTCACATTGTCAGGAGCCTAACAGAAAGTAGCAGGTTTTTAGGGGTAATAAAAAGGGACAGAGCCAGGCAATGGTGGCGCACACTTTTAATCCCAGCATTCAGGAGGCAGGCGATCTCTGTGAGTTCAAGGCCAGCCTAGTCTGTAAGAGCTAGTTCCAGGACAGGCTCCAAAGCTAGAGAGAAATCCCATTTCAGGGGAAAAAAGGGTGGGTGGGGGACGACGACAGCTGAGGTTAGGTCTGAACAAGCACATTTTGGGGAGAATGCTGAGGTGACAGGAGAGAAACCTGTAGGCCAATTCCTCTCAGTCATCTTTTGACCCTAACCCTTGTCCGTTGTTTCCCAGTTGTATCCACGGATCAAGCCCCGGCAGCGAACACTTGCCTGAACGTCCCCCGGAGTACCACAGTCTCATTGGCTCCCAGGAGCTGCTGGAGAAGATTTCAGCTGCCCTGGAAAAACTGAAGCTAGGACGGTCTCATGGTGCTCACTTTAGCAGACAGTATCCACAATGTGAATCCCAGCTCCCCAAGTGAGGCCCTTCTCCAGTCTGCAGTAACTGGGAGAGGTAGTGCTTTGGCCTTCAGAGGACTGCATTTTTGCCAATTACTGTAAATCCAAATAAATACCCAGATTCTAAGACACCCTCCTCCCCTGTTGCCAGTAAGAAGTCCTCAAACTATGAATCCTGACGGTTGCCAATGAAGACAGAGTTTGATTGACTTGGCCTAAAGGCCTCTTCTCCTGTTTGATGTCTCTGACCTTCAGCAAAAGCAAGCTGCTACCAGGTAGCTTTGGCTACAGCCCCGCCCTCCTTGGAAAGTCTCAAACCCCATCATTCTTTCTCACATTCCCGCTCACAAAATTTTCTTTCCTTTCACTACCAAAGGAGACCATTTGGAAACTGTTGTGTTTAACTAACCTGATGACCTCATGCTGTGGCTGGACTTGCACACCTCAGCACAGGGTCATCTGATTCCTATAACTTTTAGTGTCATCTTTAGCCTCCTTGTGGCATGAGTTCATTCTGTTCTTAGTTAGACACAGAGGAGTCTGGGAAAAGACGAGTCTAAGTAAGTACTGGCCGGCTGGGCAGTGCCCAGTTCAGTAAAGCCACCAGGCAAACTGGGATACAGTCAGTGTGGCCACATTCCAAGTGAGGCAAGCTCTATATTCTGAAGTTTGAACTCTGTAGACAGGCTTTTTATACACCAAGATTATTTTTCAACTAGACCATTGAAAACTATCAGAATTGTGTTGGAAATGTTTCTTCCTCATTGAAACACAAGCCCTTAGGCTTTATTTTTCATGTGAGTCTTGTACATAACTACGTGTGATCCCTGTGTAGGTCTGGGAGCAGTGCTGTAGTCAGCGGCCAAGTATTACTGTACAGGGTGGCGCTGAGTGCAGCCTCTTCCATCCCAACCCCACTGATGCTGTGTGACGTGCACAATAAACTGCTGTCTCACATCTGGCTGTGAGTCTTGTGTTCTGGACGCAGGACAGCTGCACAAAGTGAGGCCAGAGCCTGCTGTGTACTTTCAAAATAAGTTTTAATCATACATTTTATATACAAATTACTGTACAGTCATTTTACTAAAGTGAAATAGTAAGTGCAAAGTAGAAAACACAGACGGTTGTGATGCCTTCCCTTTAAGTGACAAAGTAAGTGGAGAGTCATAAACAGGCTAAGGCATTGTAAATGGGCTACTGGAGATAGGCAGGGTCCAATGCTAAACTAGGGGCCTGAATGACCACCACCTAGTTTGTTTCTGTGGGAACAGGGCCAAAAATCTCTTATAAACCTGGGAATTTATAAACATGGTACAGGTTATATTAAAACTGATTTAGTACTGTAGTGCAGTTTCTCCCAACCCTGATAAGTACCAGCAACACTACAACATAAGCTCTTTCTTTAAAGTGTTAATCAACTGTGTACATATTGCACTAGGTAAGTGAACACTCTGCTTCCAGATACTTGAATTGCATTTCCAAGCACACACACAGCAGAGCCCTGAGTGCTCAAGCAGGGCAAGCAGCTTGGACTTTGTAACCTGATGTGCTGAGCTCAGTTCCCTTGCAGTTACTGGTCTCGTGATTCATAGAGGAGCTTGGTAGCCTGTAGAACAGCATAAAGCATTATTGGTTCTGAGCCTGATCACAGATGAGCCTATGTGCTTTTTAGGGGATAACTAGGGACGTCCCAGCTGTGTGACAACCTTTTGGGAAAAACTTTGTCTCTAATTCCATGGGCTCAGCCTCCCCAACCCTACCCTTGGTACCTTGTGCATGGCCACCAGCCATGCTGCTGCCTGCCTCTTGCTGCCATTTGCATCCTCTCCAGCCATCAGCCTCAGCTGTGTTGCAGCCTCTGCCCCTGGCACTGTGTACTGCAGGAACATGCCTGTGGCTCGAGTGCTGCCTGCTGGAGGAGGGAGATGAGGATCAGTAAGACCTTAGGGCCCTGTGTGCTCAAGAAGCAGCCTTGTTGGAAACATGCAGTGGTAAATGATACTAGGTCCTGCTTCTGCAAAGACCCCATGTGCACAGAAATGGGAAAGGAATATAAAAGACTTGTGATCCCCAGGGCCAGGATAAACTAATGGTACCATTTCACCGAGCTTTTACATAGTCCTGTTTTCCAGCAGTCTGGAAGCTGCTAAGCCTTAATATATCCACGGCATTCTCCTTCCAACCTTAAGAGAAACCACATGCATACACGTGTGTACATATGTACACGTACACACACACACAACCAGAACAGAACTGCTCTACATAGCTAGAGCAGTGAAGTACAGAACCTACTTTAGGAATAGCCTGGCCATCAGAAGATAAACCAAACAGATAGTTACATGTGCCCTCACTTCACTGGTAGAGACCACAGCTGAGCAGGCTGTTAACGCAGAAGCGATGCCACGCTACCCTGTCAAGTGCCATTCTTCCAGGGCTCTCAGGATCCCATGGAGAACGCTGCCAACCCACAGCTCCATCTCTGGGCTATGACCAACTGCTCTAAGCATAATGATTTGAATTTAAGCTCTGCCCTAGGAACAAGCCACTTGAAACGTAGATCAGTTCTGTCAGTCATGGTGACCAGAAGGAAAACATTTTGAGAAATGACCCACCTCTAATCAGACACTAATTTACTAGCCTGTGGGGTGAATTGAGCATACAGACCATAGCCAGGAAAAGGCCTGACTTGTCTGCGAAAGCTCTGGCTGAGGGCTGGGTCTACGCAGAGGCTTCTGAACTGTGCTCCAATTCAGATGCCTAGAAACGCACTGGAAGGCCCGGCCGGGCTGCCCTGCCAAGCTGTGCAGAACTTTTATCTGGGCCGTCTACCATCAGCCTTCATAAATAAAAATGTTCTGAAATGTGGCTATGGCAACTGTTGGCTGTGGCTGGTTTGTGCTTTGCAAGGCCATCAAAATTTTAGCCCCACCATGGGGGCTAGAGAGATGGTTCTCCAGTTAAGAGTACGTTCAGCTCTTGCAGAGGACCTGGGTTCAGTTCCCAGCACCTACAAACGGTGGCTCACAACCATCTGTAGCTCCAGTCCTAGGGATCCAACAGATTGCCCTGCTCTCTAAAGACACTAGGCCTGTGCATGGGCATACACATGCAGACCTTCTTGACCTTTAGACTTCTGGTGACCCTGCCCTTGGCACTAGGGTAATTCTTCCTGCACCTCCTTGTTGCATTCCATTAGCCGGGGCCTTCTTACCACTACCTTCAAGAGACTGAGATGGAGGAACTGAGAGCCAGGGATCCCTGGAGGCAAGCTACTGGGTGCAGTGATGAAAACTGCTGCCCACTGCATATGCCTGGTGCCTGATCAGCAAAGAACTACCTACACACCTGACCGCAGCCGACTGCGGGCTGGCTTGTCAGCTCTTGAATAACTTCTCCCTGGGAAAGAACTGAGCAAACATACTTAATGCTGTCACGACATTTCCTCGTACGCTTTATAGATTCATATACTGGACCTAGTGCTTCTCTTAATCAAAAGAAATGAACCTAAATTTCAGAATCCACCCAAAGGGGCTAGAGGAGGAACAGATACCACAGCATGCTGGAAGGAGTGACCCAGGGAGGGTGGAGGCTGACCTTCAGAGGCAGGCAGGCTCCCCAGGAGGCTGGTGTAAGTGTGAATGTCTTTTTCTACTTGAAGAAGGTAGGCAGGCAGCGCAAAGAAGAAACAACCGAGAGTCAGTCAGAAAATGGAAAGAAGGTGCGTTAGGTCAGATCTGCAGGTTCAGAATGTGCGATGTGCAGTTCACCAGTGGGGTCGAGCTAAGACTGAAGCTCACCAAGGGCCTTGGCTGCACAGATGCCTGCAGGGGAGGCTCCGAATCAGCCACACCACAGACTGTGTCTGGAATCTCAGATACTGCATTTGGAGGCCATCTACACCAAGTAAGGCGATCCGTGACAGGATGCCACGGGCACATCAGGCCAATCTCCTCTCATTATCCCCCTCCCCTCCCGGTGGGTTCTAAAGTTAGACTTAACACAAGTCCCAATGAAGAGCACGGAAGACCATCTTGGGACCAAGTGCAGTACCTCCTGTTGCCCATATCAGTACTAGAGACCCTCCTGCTCAGGAATGGCATGTACCTCCGGGAGTGAAGCCTTCTGTGAGAATCTGCACAGTACAGACATGTGCAATCTCAATTTCGTGATGGCTGTCCCCGTCCAGAATCAGGCACCTATAACAAACAAAAGTCATGAGACTGAGGCCTGAAGCCTATGACAATATTGCCCCGTGCCAGTGGAACACTGTCTCTTACCTCTGGTTGTTGGAAAGACGGCAAACCATAGTCTCAGGCTTCTCTGAATCCCCAAAAGTAACAAGGAAGGTAGCTCCTTGGAAGACAAAACCAAACCGGTTACACAGGACCTGCTGCTTTATCTCCGGGCCTCCATGCGCTCGGGCCAGAAAAGCCTTCCTCCTCCATTACCAGAGGGGAGAGGACAGGCTGGCACACACAACAGCTTTGTGTTAAGGGTCCCCTTCAGCCAGGCAAAAAGGCAATAATGAATTAAGGGTCTCAAAAGCTTAAAAAACACCACTTGGGACAGAGAGATGGCTCAGTGGTTAAGAGCATTGTTCTCTCAATGGACCGAGATTCAATTCCCAACACACACATGGTGGCTTAGAACTGCCTGTAATTCTAGTTCCAGGAGAGCTGACGTCCTCTTCTGACCTCTCTAGGTATAAGGCAGACACATGGTGCACAGACATAATGTAGCCATCCACATAAAAATGCACAGAGCTGTGAATTTTGTTACTCGTCACTGTCAAGGCCCAGATCAGATAACTCCAGAGCAGACTGGGCCAAGACTGGGCAGGGAAGAGGCTGGCCCTTGGCTGTGGGATGCACACAGGCCTGCAGCTGTACAGAGCTGTGGGAGGCAGGCCCCACCCCAAAGAACTCCCTTCTCCCTCGTGCTCCTGGATGTGCTTCAGAACCAGCATCTGCACCTGTTGTAGCTTGTCTCCAAGCCTCTGAGGACCATGGCCACACAGACTTAACTACCAGCGACAGCCTTCCATCTGCAGAAGGTGCTGCTGAGGCAGCGCCCAGTAAGTCAGACTGACATCTTAGAACATTTCCATCTCTAGGTCCAAAAGAAAGTAGAGGAGGAGGGCAGGACACACCATCTTGGAGCAGGCTACATTTTAAGCATGGCAAGTGGACAGGCTGTCACTTACCATTTAGGAGCACCTTGAGCTGCTTGTCGTAAAACTCAGCCTCACGGTGAGACACCAGGGCACACTCCGCACACTGGCGCACTGGGTCCACAAAGCACATGCGCCGAAGCGGCACCTTCTGGCTGCAGCACCTGTCACAGAAGCATTTCCCACAGCGGCGGCAGTGGTGCTGGTGAGGGTGAAGGTTGGGCAGTGAGTAGTCAACACAGATGCGCTAGGACTGCCTGCCGGCCAGTACTGCCAAGACCCCTGAATGCATCTGCAGCTGTGTGTGCCCAGGGTAAACACAGCAGAGCTCAGCCTCACTTGGGAAAAATGGACCAAAGGAGTCTCCCACCCCCACCTATATGTATGTGTGTTGCTAGGATTTGAACCCAGGGTCTTGTACGTTCTAGGTGAGCGGTTCAATCATTCAACGACAACCCAAGCCCTTAATTCCTCTGACTTCCTGCTGCCCAGCACATGCTGTCTCTGAGCCTCCTTGGGAGCTCCGTACTCATCTGGGGAGCTACACGAGTAACTGAAACAGGGTATTAAAATGGCCTGTAAGATCCAGTTCCTCTGAGGAACTGGGCTTTCCCCAGAAAGAACTCAATTGTACTGGTTCCCATCCTACACATACCTACACCACCACCACCACCACCACCACCACCACCACAGCCTCAGCTTACCTTCCTGGTGATAAAGTCAAATTTGGCATCACACTGCATACATCGTGGACACTAGGAGAGAACATAACACAGTATTATGATCCAGCTGTGTCACCTGGCTCACTGCTGAGGCCGAGCCAAGAGGTGCAGGAAAGGCTGCTAAGAAAGCCAACTTT